CGGGGCACCTGGCCATTTGACCACCTCGGCACAGTGGAAAACCCAAACGCATGCTGCAGAAAATACTTACCACCCCACTTGGGAATCTACCAAACCCTAAACCCTAGACCCTAATCTACCACCCTAAGGCCCCTCAGGGCTACCAGCCTGACTAGTCTGGGGTTCATCAAGGGCGTTGGTAATGATTCCGGTGGAAGTGCAAAGGAGGATAAAGTCCCTGCACCACTCCGAAGGAATCCCAATCAAGCATTTCATAACATTGTAAATCTCCTGCACCGTTCCTGAAGAATTTCTTGATGTATTACTCCCGTTCATAACCCTGTGCATCCCCTACATGCTTCTACGGAATCTCACTACAAAATAACCTCTGGTGCTTTTCTGCCCCTAACTTACTGGTGCTCAAGGGAGAGGGGAGAGTGGGGGAGCGGATCCCTAGAATCTCTATATACTTCCCCACAATAATACGTTCAACATTTCCCCTCACTCCCCATTGAAGCCCCTTATCCAGCACCAGACCTTGCGATCACCTGAAGCACCAAGTTCCCAAGCCCCCAAAACCCCCAAATTCCTCAACCGTAAACGCCTAATCCCCGAAATCCTAAACCCAAAACCCCAGAACCCATAACCCCAAAATCTCTCGCCAAGGCGCTGGGCACTTTGGCTTCTCGGAGGGACTCTTGGGCCCAGCGGCGACGCTTCGCCTGCAGGTCGGCACCAGCCCATTGGCGGGGGTCCTGACGAAAGGTTTAGGATTTGGGGTTTAGGGCGTAGGGTTTCGGGTTTGGAGTGAAGGGTTTAGGGTTTGGGATTTAAGGGTCGGGGTGTTGGGTTTTGGGGTTTAGGATTTAGGGTTAAGATTTTAGGATTCAGGGTTTACACAAATTGTGTAAGGTTCAGGTCGGGAGTTTTGACAGGCTTTTGGGGACTTGTGACGGAGTGTCCGTTGTAACTTTTGCCCTACCCAATTTGCATTTGTCTGGGCTTGAGGGTTTTAGGGTTCGGGGTTTAGGATTTAGGGCTTAGGGCTTAAAGCTTGAGTTTTAGTGCTCAGGGTCCAGACTCAAGGGATTCCTGGTTGTACCACTATAGGGTTTAGGGTTTTGGGTTTAGGGTTACTATGGCTATGTTGGGGTTATGTTGGGTTAGTTTGACTTCTTCAGGATCAGCCTGACAGGGGTAACGAAAATCGCCGTATTACCTACTGTAACCCCTAATACGTAGCCCCAGTTTCCATGTCATTCTCCAGGTTCTTTTCCATGTCATCCTCCACTATACCCCTACATAACCCCTACATGATCCCAATAGAACCTTATATTCTTAAGCTAAACCACTTAGACTGAGAGATTGCAATGTAGGAGGCGCCTGCTGCGCAATGGCTACGGCCCCCGCGGGGCCGGCCGCCAGAATTTCCTTTCGCAGCGCCTGCACAGCTTCTCATGCACAGACCCCCTAAAACAACCAAAATATGCAACTTCCCAATAATCCCCTTATTTCTTCAAAGCAGGAAGGGGGTAATTTTGGGAACCCCATGTTTGAGTCCCTCAATACATCCACAAGACATGCATTGGGGGCCTCATTGGTCTTCAGCGCGGCAGAGAGTGCCAGCAAGCGTCGCCGCGCGTTGCCACCATGCAGCGCAAGGAAGGCCTAGCACTGGGATTTAGGGTTCAGGGGCTTGCACGCCGCAGAAGGCAGATGTGATCTACCGGGTCTTGTTGCTTGATATTCTTTTCTGCTTCGATCCAGGCATCAAATGCCAAGGGCTCTTCCCCTGACGTCCACTGCCGCAGAGCCCGTGCCGAGACCTGGGGGTTTCCCAAAATTATGGGCACCATCTTGGGGAGTTCCTATAACAAGGATGAGAATATTTCGCAGTGTATATTGAGGTCCCCCTATTTTCCTAAACCCTAAACCCCCTAAACCCTAAACCCTGGGTCCCCCGATTTTGTGAAATTACCACCTCGTCTATAGGCCGCAAGGTCGCCAAGGCTTCCCGGAGATCGTCTGACAGTGGCAGGATTACCTGGGAGTTTCTCAAAAGGACTCAGGGGAATTCTCTAGGAATGAATCAGGTTGAATAGGGTTGTATGGGGATTTGGGGTTTAGTGTTGAGGGTTTAGCGTGGCATTGCTCCAAATCATAAAGGAGAATCAAATGGAAAAGGAGATTGAAACTGTGAATACGTAGTGGTTTATAGGGCCTAGGTATCATCCGCATGGGGGTTTCTCAAAATGGGGGGCCCCCAGGGACTCCGAGGGACGTATGGGGATCTAAAGGGGATTCTAGGGACCCTTATTCAGGATTCTACAGCATCCGCGACCCGCAACCCTAAATCCCAAACCCTAAACCCCCAAACCCAAAATCCAAAACAACCCTAAACCCTAAATCCTAAACCCTAGACCCTAAATCCTAAACTCTAAACCCTACACCCTATTCTAAGGATTCTTTCGAGAATTTCTCACCTCGAGGCGAGGGAGAGAACCCATAGCCGAGGTGGCCAGCCGGTAGCGGAAGAGGAACTGCCTGGGTTGCTTTTACGGAACTTAAATTAAGTTACTATTATAAAGGGGCTTAGAAAGTTACGGTTAGGGTTTAGGGTTTAGGATTTAGGGGTTTAGGGTTAGGGTTTCAGGGTTTGGGGGTTTTATAATAAGGAAACCCTATCATTTACTGTATAGCCATATTATGGTACCCTAAACCCTCAAGCCTATTTACCTATACCCACATTATTGTAACTTAGTTTAAGGTCCGTAACAGCAACCCAGCTGCCGGCTCCACCAGCCACTCTCACTGCCTTCACCACCATACCTGGGGGGGGCAAGCACGGTTTAGGGTTTAGGGTTGAGGGTTGAGGGTTTAGGGTGAAACGATATTACCCGCATAAATGGAGAATCGAATGGACAAGAAA